GGGATGCCCGAATCCTCCCTTCTCCTTAGTTTCCCCCCTCCTCTAGGCTTTGCTCGTTAGGTCCTTCACATATGAACTAGCTACTCTGTGTAATCGAATTCTGTGATTAAGTGGGAAGTGAGGCCCTTAACTCACCTTGCCCTCTAGGATTCAACCATGTGTTCGTGTTTTTTATTTGGTGTTCTTGAGTTTTGAAGTTAGCTGTTCGTTGTTTTTCCCTCCCCGTTCTTGCTTAATCTCTTTGGTCTCTCCAAAATGCATGTTCGCTGAAAACAAAAAGGAAATAGTGATGAAAGGTTAAACAAGTTTCACAATTGGTAAAATCATATGGACATAAATGTGGCCTCTCAATCAAATAGTTGAGGCGATTAAAGAAAGTGAAAATGTGGCGTGAGATTCCACCTCCACATGCGATCTCAAGTTTTCAAAAAAGGATTCAGGAACGCTTCATTGACAAGGACGGTCTGTCCTCTCGTTGACAAGGACGGTCTCTCTAGTTTCTAGGCTGATAAACTCGGTTGGTGCTGGTTTGTTGTAAGAGAAAAATACTGTTGGCTGACTGATAAGTTCTGGCTGAAACCAACAAGCGAACAGGCTGGTTGTAAGGAATTCGTCAGTTTTCTAAAGGCTCCATGTTGTATCAGATCTATCAAGAGCATGTTCGTTTCGGCTTATTCGCTCGTATCTAGCTTATAATCCATGATTTGAACAATATTTTTCTTTTACACCAAACCAACCAGCAGTACTTTCAGCCATAACTTATAAGCCGATTCAGCCGAAACGAACAGGCTGCAAATTGCGTGTAGCATTGGACCACTTACCAGATTTGGTAGCATTAAAGGGACTGTCAAAACTCAAAGAGCTGCACCTTTTTAATTCCGGCTTAAGCTATGAAAATTTGTCAGTGCTGCAAGAATTACCTTACCTGGTGTACCTAAAATTGGCAGAGTATATTGGTTTTACATGTGGCACAGGTTTGTTACCAAGAGGGGTGGGTTTGGAAGCCTTAAAAGGCTTTGCTTCGAAGCCCGAAAGCTGCCAGAGATTGTTGTAGAAAATGGAGAAATGATATGCCTTACATCTTTTGATCTACTATGCCGTGAGTACTCTACCTTAGTTCCTGTCTTACCGCGCCCATTTCTGCGTGAGCCCGAGTCAATTGAAAGCTGGGCTGGTTTTATAGGGTTGTCTTACCTTCCAAATTTGAAAGATATCACATGGCCCCGTTCGGCTTACCTTATATCCGGCTTGTTCGACTTCTTTTTTCAGACGGAACAGTGTTTTTCTCTCACAATATTTCAGCAAAAATAGTGTTTTTCAGCCAAGTTTCAGCAAGCCGAACGATGCTACTACCGCCATAAAGTTACAAAGGTGGAAGAAGGCAGGGATCTTTTTCAACAGTAGACCTCATATGAAGAGGCAGGGTATGTGAGCTTGTTCAGATGTAGGAAATAAAAGCACTAATGATCGATCTGAAAAACACTAATGATTGTGTTGTGTTGTAACTACTAGAAGCCAGTGTTAGTAACTGATTTTAATTGCACAATTGCATGTTTAGTCTTTTTTTTCATTTTTCTTCCACAATTGCATCTTTTACGGTCTTGTGTTGAACTGTACACTTGTGTTGGGCACCAGCGAAAAGCTTCTTTCTTCAACAAAGAAAAAAAAACAGTGAAAAGCTTGCCTGCAATCTGCAGAAGAACCTGTTGTAACGTCTCACCTCTCCGAGGCCGGGTCCGCTTACATCTGGCAGCTTAACTAGGATATAGACTGCCCTCACAGACCAACACTTGTCTTTTCTGCGCAGTTTGTCCTCACTCGTGCGCACCCGGGAAGAACTTCCCGGTCGGTCACCCATCGCTCCAGGCCAAGCACGCTTAACCTCGGAGTTCTTTGCAGATGGGCTTCCGAAAAAGAAGTTGCAACTTGTTGGTATGAGTATCCTAATAATCCTATTAAACCCTGAGCCGGAGTGTTACACCTATCCTTGTTTTTTTGGCAGATAGATGAACCAACCATGTTTATCGATAGGAGCTAGAAATTATGAGATTAATCATGTGAGAATAATATGCACCATCATTTTTATAATGATCTAAAGGCTTATATTAAATCAAAGTCTATGCCTAAACAACTAATATAAACAAAAAATACAGCGTTAGTTGGTCTAAAAGTAAAGAAAAAAGGGCCACTGATCTTGATTATAATGGTGTAGATTCAATCCAATGAAGACCAGATATGAAGATGAAAAATCACGTACACAAAAGTAAATTAGGAGTCTAAAGTCCTATTCAGATAAGAATAAGAATATTAATAACCTACTTCCTCCATCCTAAAATATAAATTGTCCAAATTTATCCTAAGTTAAATTGTGTTAATTTTAACCAAAACTATAGAAAATAAAAAATAATAGTTTTTTTTGTGAATTGCTTGCCTTTCATAAATCAGCCGGCTGAAGCCTCAACCATGATCAAGTCATACACACATGCTGGAGTAACACGCCACACCTCCGAGTAATGTGAACTAGAAACCTGACGAGATAACAAATGTGCAACCTTATTAGAACTTCTACTAATAAAAGAGAAAGAAAACTCTTGAAAGGCAAGGCTAATATCCTCCATCTCCTTCAGAATAGGATCAATGATGGATCTTTGTGACTCCTTCTTCTTCCACAATTGCACAACCTGGAGACAGTCGGTTTCCAAGGCCACCCGACGTAAACCCATCTGTGCAGCAAGCTTCATGCCATCCCTGCACGCCAAGGCCTCCATGGAGTAAACATCAAGACCACGCTCATACCAGATTGCTTGTTACGACATCAAATTAGCATCATTGGATATATTATAAAATATATTTTTTATAATTTACATCTTTGATGTAATAGATATTAATACCTTTTCGTATAAATTTAGTCAAACTTTGCATAGTTTGACTTAGGATAAACTTATATATCTATTAAATTTAGTCAACAACTTTTGGTTTGTGTTTTAATAAATTTCATTCAATAGGGGATAAACCCTCCTGTTCCCGTAAAAAAAATCAAATTTATATTATGCATTTTTATATGAACTACATACATGCAGATGACTATGGATGAAAACGGTACGGATATTTATTCGACCGTCCGTTCGACCGAACAAATATGAACACTTATCTGGATAGTTACTCGGATATCCGTAATTTTTTTCGGATACGGATAATAAAACGGATATCTTAGGCGGATATCAAATACGGATGTAATATCATCGATATCCGGCGGATATCGGATAATCCGGTTAAGTATCGGATATATCCGGATATTTTCAAACGGATATTATCCGGATATTATTCAAACGACCTTGGATGGAGAAATGATCAAAATAAAAATTGTAGATCTCAAAAAGTTATGAAACTTTGTTGTTTACAACTTTTTCGTTTGAAATCATTTAGTGCTTCAAAATTTAAACCGTCCAAACTTTCTCAAATGGAAAACTAGTTTATAGGCGTCAAAATTTAAAAATCACAAATTTGAACCATCCAAACTATCTCAAATGGAAAGTTGACCAAAACAACAATTGTAGATCTTGATGAGTTGAACAAACTTGGTATTCAAAACTTTTCAATTTGAAGTCATTTAGAGTTCATAATACTAGAGTCAAAGTATTGTTTTTTCATTTAACCAAATTTGACTTGGTCAAACTTGCTCAAATGAGACACTAAATGACCTCAGATGAAAAAACTCTGAATACCAAGTTTGATCATCTCAGCAAGATATACAATTGTTACATATCTCATTTTCCCATTTGAGAAAGTTTTATCAAACACTAGTCACAAATTCTTGAATCTCATATAGACTTTCTGAAACTATGTCACACTTGTGAAATTTGAACTATATTTTGTTCAAACTTTCTCAAATGAAAAAATAGCCTATATAAGTATTGTAGATCTTGATGAGCTAAACAAACTTGGTATTCAAAACTTTTCAATCTGAGACAATCTAGGGTTCCGAAAACTAGTTTGTAAGCATCGAAATTTAAAAATCACAAATTTGAACCGTCCAAACTATCTCAAATGGAAAGTTGACCAAAACAAGAATTGTAGATCTTGATGAGTTGAACAAACTTGGTATTCAAAACTTTTCAATTTGAAGCCATTTAGAGTTCATAATACTAGAGTCAAAGTGTTATTTTTTCATTTGACCAAATTTGACTTGGTCAAACTTGCTCAAATGAGACACTAAATGACCTCAGATGAAAAAACTCTGAATACCAAGTTTGATCATCTCAGCAAGATCTACAATTGTTACATAGCTCATTTTCCCATTTGAGAAAGTTTTATCAAACACTAGTTACAAATTCTTGAATCTCATATAGACTTTCTAAAACTATGTCACACACTTGTAAAATTTGAACTACATTTTGTTCAAACTTTCTCAAATAAAAAAAATGGCATATATAAGGATTGTAGATCTTGAATCCATGACCATGACTCCATGAGACCCATGAAGCCATGAGCTTGGCTATTTCTACTCATGCCGCGAAGATTTGTGCTTGTATGATGTTTGATGTATGATGTATCTGTATCTTTATCTTATTTGTTGCTTTACTCTTTAGTCTTTCAGCTTAATCTAGATGGATTATAGACTCATAGAGTGGTGTAATGGTTTATTACATGACGTGATGATATATATATATATATATATATATATATATATATATATATATATATATATATATATATATATATATATATATATATATATATATATGCTGCTTTTACTCAATATCCGAATAGATATTTGTATCCGACCTTCTCCGAATCCGATTCATACCGTATTCGATACTCATTATTCGTATGCGTAACCGAGTCAATCCGTATTCGTATATGTATCCGAACGCTATCCGTGTCCGAATCCGAATCCGAACAGAAATATGAAAACAAATATAATATGAGTGATATCCGTTCATATCCGATCCGTTTTCAACTAACAGAAAAAGAAAAAGAAAAAGAAAAAGGAGAGAATCCTATCTAACCCTCTTGGGCGTGTAATTCTTGGCGAGGTACACAAAAACGGCAAAGTTAACTGCGGTGATGCCGACAATGAGCATAAAGTAGTAATCCAAGTGCCCATCGTCCATGTTTGGCGGGAACCATCCCGTCCTGCCGCCCGTCGCGGTCACAGACGCCACCAGCGTCACCAGCTGCGAGCAAATGAGGTTTCCGAGCGAGCACGACAGGAAGTAGAATGCCGTGGATGCGCCCCGCATCGTCTCCGGCGCCTGGTCGTAGAAGAACTCCAGCTGACCGACGCTGAGCGACGCGTCGGAGACGGCTATCACGACGTACTGCGGCAGCAGCCACGCAATGCGCAAGGGCGCTGCCCCGGCCCTGACATTCGCCAGCCTGCGCGCCTCGGCGCACGCGGCGAGGGCCACCGCGGCGATCACCGCGGCGTGCCCGAGCCCCATAAGCTGCAGCGGCGTGAACGCCTCCGCGCGGCAGAGGAAGCGGCGCGCCGCGGGCGCGACGGCCCGGCTGTAGAGCACGATGGAGGCCACCACGAACGCCGTCTCGATGCACGTCAGCGACGCGGCCGGGACGGAGAACGCGCCGCGCCCGATCCTGGAGTCCGTCATCGTGCCCTGCTGCACGAAGGTGGTCTGCGCCTGGGTGTTGGCGACGAAGTACACGGCCGACGTGAGCCAGATCGGGATCAGCCGCAGCAGCGTCTTGAGCTCCTCCACTTGGGTCACCGTGCACAGCCTCCATGGGCTGCCGTCTTCCAAGTCTGCGCTCGTGACAACCGCGGCTTTGTCCAAGCACCTGAACTGTTCCGTGTGCTCTAGCAACTCGCGAGGTGGATGATGCGAAGACACCTTGACATGCTCCTCCGCGTACAGCTCGGCGGCATCGTCAGGCACTCTCACGTTCACCTTGCGAGCGAACGCGACGAGCACCTGGCACGCGCCCTTCAAGGGGCTGCCCACCGGTGGCACGAGCCGGTACACGGGCGCAGTCGCGGCGAGGGCGACGACGGCCACCGCGACGAACGACGCGCAGACGCCGTACCCGATCCCCCAGCTGACCTTGTCCTCGACCCAGACCAGCAGGGTCCCCGAGGTGAGCATGGCCAGGTTGCCCACGCCGTAGTACCAGCTGAAGTAGGAGGCCTTCCTCTCCCTCTCCACCATGTTCTTGCCGTTCTCGTCGTCGAACTGCTCCGCGCCGAACGAGACTATGGCCGCCTTCGCCCCGCCGATCCCGATGGCGCACAGGTATATACCCGCAAAGAACACCAGCCGTTGGTGCAGAGCCGCCGGGGCGCAGTACGTGCCGGTGCCGTGCTCGCACGGCGGAGGCCTCAGAGACGGCAGCGTAGCCGATGTCGTGATCACGGCCATCCCCTGCTTTTCATTTGTTCGTCAGAGAAGCAACTGCCAGTTTCTGCCAGCCTAGAATGCAAATGCCAAGTTTCCCAAGTCGTGCAGAGGATTGTACAGCGAGAGATATGGAGAGGCCAACGAGCACGGTCTTGTACTTGCCCCAGCAAGAATCGGCGATGGCGGCGCCGACCACGGGCATCAGGTAGCTAGCTCCAGCCCAGAAACTGACGGCCGCCGCGTTGGAGGCACTGTCGCCATGAAGAACGTCCTGGAGATACACGATTAGGTTCAGGTAGACCCCGTAGAAAGCGGTGACTTCCAAGAACACCAGGCCTGGCACAGCAAGTTGAGTTTCACTGGCATGGTTATCAACTTATCATTCTGCAGCAAGAATATGGTATGATCGATGTACTTTACTAGACTTTGAGATAAAAGCAAATATACAACAAAACACTGTAATACTATTTTTTTTTCACATGTAAGGATCATTGTTGTTGAATCAAATGTAAGTGTAAAGAGGAAATGTCAGAACTCACACAAGACTATCTTGGGCGCCTTGGAGTAGATATTATTACTCTTACTGTCTTTGCCCACTTCCTGTTCCCGAGCTCCCAGCAGAGGCACCAAGCTCTGACAATATTGCTGTGTCCGACAATATTGCTGTGTTTAGGACACGCATATTTCTATATCGTGCTATGTTCTTTTTGAGAGAGAGAAACTAAAAGAAATTGAGAGGAGTATGCTATGTTTCATCAGGAACCGTTTCATCATGTGCTATTCAATTTTTTTTCGTAACTAAACAAGATGGTAGGACACGCATATTTCTATATCGTGCTATGTTCTTTTTGAGAGAGAGAAACTAAAAGAAATTGAGAGGAGTATGCTATGTTTCATCAGGAACCGTTTCATCATGTGCTATTCAATTTTTTTTTTGTACGCTGACTGCTGGTAGCAGACTATCAGCTGCCACTGGGGCCCACTTTTGTGCAGAGTTGCTAGTGAAACACAGCGGCAGCTGACTACCGGCCGGCTAGGCTAGGCGGCAAAAGGCACCAGGCAGCCGGTGGAGGATCCTTGTGCCTAGCGGACGAATCCGGCCCGGCGCTCGGGGGTCGGGGCCTCCCGCTCCTGCAGCAGCGCGCGCAGCTGAAGGCCTCCTCGAAAGGACACGGAAGCTATAGAACAGACAAGACGAGCACGAGGACACGTACCTCGGCCTCCCCTTGGAGCAGCGGGCTCGCCCGCTCGACATCGGCGTCCGTGCTGGTAGGATCCGCCGCCGCCGCTCTATCCATGGAGGGTGCCCCGGTGCCGGTCGCAAGTCGCAACCAGAGGCAAAACTCGCGGTGGCGAGAGGAGAGGGGTGAGTCGATTAGGGCCACGATGTAGACCGCAAAAATCTCTTTCCTCCGGGCCTCCAACGAAAACCGTCAGAAATTGGGGCGTGACCGGAACGATAGCAATCAGCAACGAAACCAGCCAACTCTGCTTTCAGGCCCCGGCTCCGCGAGTCCATGTCCATCTGCGATTTCAGATATTTTTCTGTGCGCCTTTCATTCGTTTTTTTCAGTTCCTGACGGTGCCTCCAACGCGGCGGCTCCGCGAGTCCATGTCCATATGCGATTTCTTTCTCGGGGGACGGGCCGAAAGAGCGGTCTTGCCAACCAGCGAACGTGCACGGAATTAAAAACTAACAAATAGTAATAAGACTAGCCTCGTGACCTTTTTTTTTTGGAAACATTCATTTCCATACACTTCTGTTTTTATATTAGTACATGATAATTTTTGTATATAATATTTTGCAGGGTAAAATTTATCATCCTAACTTCTTATTGTAAGTTTTTCTCAGTACATTATTTAACGCAGTTTAATAGTTTATAGATAAATTTATCCTAACAACTTTTTCGGCGTGACCTTTTTTTAATGGAAAGAGAGAGCTCATAATTTACTCATAGTGTTACGATCATGAGCAACAAGTTGCTCAACACAAACATGTGACGTTTTCAACCTAACTTTTGTTCATAAGTACTCCCTCCATCCCAAATTGTAAGTCATTCCAAGAATCTTGGAGAGTCAAACTTTTTCAAGTTTGATTAAAATTATAGAGAGAAACACAAAGATTGATGACATCAAATAGGTATAATATGAAAATATAACTAATGAAGAATTTAATGATACTTACTTGGTATGATAAATATTATTATTTTGTTATATAAATTTGGTCAAACTTGAAAAAGTTTGACTCTCCAAGATTCTTGGAATGACTTACAATTTGGGATGGAGGGAGTATTACAGTAGTTGGTAATTTTATCATAATAATTCCTCAATATACATGCTCTAGCACAACTTTTACGTTACAAATTCTATGAATATTTTTTTGTTTTTCAATATCTTTTGAAAAAAAATATACAACATCTTTAGCACAAGTTTTGTATATAACTTGTTTCAAACAGACTTGTCAATAGTACACAAGAGTAAAATGAGTAGATTAATAAAGAAAAAATAATGAAAAAGCCAAGAATAATAGACGGAGTAGTGCTGAGGTCACAATGGCAATTGGCAACCCTTTGCTGTTTTGGGTTTGAGCCTTTATCTGAGGGCGAAACAGGTACAGGTGAACAACCGCAACGGTGTATCCGATTCCGACGGTCCGCTCCATGGCTCCAAGAGCGCTCCTCTGAAGGACTGAAGCTGATGGTCCAGCGGTACCCGTGACGTCGTGAGGATTACTTGGCTATGGGCACGTCAGCCAGTGTCTTACAGTGTAACAGCGAGCTGCTTAAGTGGAATACAGGAGTTTAGGTGAGGTCCGAGCACCACGCAGACGCAGCGATGACAGGCAGGTAAGCGTGAGCAGATGGCATCGGGGCAAGATTTGAGGAACAGTTGGAAGTTGCCGCGGCTACATTACCTCTCAAAAATAGCACCCCTCCTAGGCACTGCTGAGGGTGTGAGATGCAGGCGCAAGTAAAACAACAGGAGCAGGAGTCAGCAGTCAGCAGAGGCGAGAGGGCCTCCACCAGATTGGGGAATCCGATTCCAGCTGCGCTGGGCTTTCGGAGGGGCCCAACAAAACAAGGCTGGCTGGGTCCCCAGTCCCCACCCCTTTGGTCTAACACCAAATTCATTCGTTTGGGCCGGAGGCAAAGGAATCAGTAGCCCTGCTCGCTTTTATTGGGCCAGGGCGGCCAGCACGGTAATTGTGCCTCGGCAGGTAATTGTGCTCACCTTCTGCTAAAAAAAAAGGTAATTGTGCTCACCTCTTTTTTTTTCTTCATTTAATTTAGGACAAGGTAATTGTGCTCACTGACCGTAAAAGGAGAGCATAAAAGGATGTCCCGGGAAATGCCTCTGCCACGCCCCCTGCGGCGGGATCCCACGGCACAGCACCTGCGTTAAACACGTCACAGGGCTTAGCCAGCGAAGAAAGACACACTGCAACAACTCTGCATCTGCGAACGCCATGCATGCATGCACCACCTCTGAACATCCAAATGTGCCGGTACAGGGGGCCGCGCGCGCCCGGCTCCATCCTTGGACTAACATTCAATTCCCGGCGCCGGCCGGTCGATGAGCAGGGCCTGCCTGACTGCCTGCCTGGCGGTAGCTCCCAATAGGCAAATAGTGAAATAGTGACACGCACGCGCGCGCGCGCGCGTGACCGCGGTGACCACCCCTCGGTCCGTCGTCGTCGCCCACCATGGCTCGATCTCTCTCCTATGTACAGTGCGTGCCGGCCAGGTCCATCGGACGACGGACGCCCGGCCGGACAGGTATGCCCCAGCCGCTTGAATGCCTAATTATTGGGCGCATCACGACCCAATCTCCAGTCGTCGTGGCCGCTGTGCGGATCGCACAGGAGCTCCGCGTACGGCGGCCACATATACGCACCGTCCGGCCGGGTGTGCCTGCATCATCTTGCGATGCGTACGTGATCGGTTTGCGTGCGGAGACTTGCCAGCCCGATCAATCAGCGATCGCTCACGCGGCAAGCCGGCAGCCGCGCGGGCGCGGGCGACGCACGAACGAAGTCGCTGAGAGGCCGAGCGCCACCGACGACGACCTCGATCTCTGCAGCTGGAGGCCTGCAGGCGCGAGTGGTGTGGCGCGCGCGCGCGAGGCGCGGCAGCCTTGCACCAGTGAGGAGATGACGGTTGCTTAACATAATAATGCCCAACTGATAGCCGGCGGCTTTTATATTAGTACTCCGTACTTATATATTGTGTCCGCCAATAATAAGCAGCAGCAAAAAAAAAAGGTCCAGCTCGATCAACTGGGAATCTGGGATTCATTCGCTCCTCGACCTGTCTTATTGAAAAATCAGCGACAACACACATATATTGTGTCTTTTTTTCATGTATGGAAGAAAAAAATATGCATTGTCCGGCCGGGAAGTGCGTTGTACTTTTAGGCGGTCGGCAGAGTAGTGTTGTGTGTTCGTTGATGGATGCACGTACGTATACATATGTGTGTAAACAAACATAATCATGGTGCATAGACTGAAGAGGACTACACGACTGACAAACTTACAGTTATGCACTGTGTTGATACGATGCATCGATCTCTGGCTGGCGGCCGTAAGACACGGGCACGTGGCCAATGCTGCTACAACAGAGGCACTCATGCACCGCTCACACGCATGCATGCATTGCTCCTTATTGACCGCATCATTGTGCACGCATACGTGGTGTACATGCATCAGCGCTGCGCTGCTGCAACACAAAGATACGTATGCAGAGACGACCGTCCCTGCATACTTGCTGTACACACAGGCCAGTATATATATATATATATATTGACGACGGGTGATGGGAAATGGTGTAAGTCCCGTGGGCCAGATTGAAAGCTGGATACGTACGTGCGACGCGGCACACACACCTTGTACTCACTTCCCTACTTATTTACATGTACAGACGCCGTTACTTTACCTGTCAGTCCGGCCGGCACAACTGCAGAGAGCTAGCTCTAGCTAGGGCACGTACAGAGATAGATGCTGAACAGATCGACGCGCTGTATATCACATGTACTAATGCACAGGGGACCTGAGTAATACTCCTGCCTTGGAGCAGTGGCTGGTGTAAACAAGTTTGGGCTTGTTTGACTTATAAGCCGTATTTTTTTTAGTCAACGAATAGTATTTTTTTCTCATTCCAAATCAGATATTTTCAGCCATAGCTTATCAGCCAAACAAAACCAAACGAACGTGGCATTTTCCTTAGCGCACAGACAAAAATATTAAATATGTACCGTTCAGAAGAGAATCCAAACATAGGCGCCCGGCCAGGCTCCAGTTGCATGCAAAATAGCTGAAAAAGCAAGAGGCCTTGTATAACAACATCTTCCGTTGCAACGGCGCCCTGCCCTGCTTTCTGTCACATCACCTTCAAGGATGTGGGTCTCTCTTTCTTCTATTCCTCCATCTATCACATTCACATCACCCCTGGCCCGGCCCTCCATTTTTATGTCCTCTTCTTCAAGCACATAGAATGTTAGACAACGTTCATAAACTCTCCATGAGGTAGAAGAATCCTCATCAGGGGGGGCTATTCATCTCATCATGCATATAAGTACACCAAGCAACCTGACACAAACCTTAAAAAATAAGGTTCATATCTAAGAACAAAAAATTCCAATCTCTCTCATCACACAATGATAATAAGTAGAAAAGAGGAAAAGAAAGCGAAAAAAAGGAAAACTCTCTCATCTTAATTTCCTCGCTGACCTTGTGGTAATCTTAATTTCTGGTTATTATTAGCTGCTGATCAAATGTATTGTGTGCACATATGCCAATGGATTAACCTCTCTTTCCTTGTTCGAATGAGCTCCCTGCTGACGAGGAATTAGTAGACCAATCTAGCATGTCAAACAAGGGATCCAAGTCCTTGGACATTGCTTTCTCCTGATGGTGGCCACGATCACCACCGCTTGGTTTCGCTTCCATGTACTCTTTGGAGAAGATTAGGCTCATGGGATCTAACTCCAACTCCGCGAGGTCGGAGAAGAAATCGTCAGAGTGGCCGGCCTCCGGTATCATCGGCTTGTAGCTCTCACTGAACACCTGGTCCATGAGTTCAATGTTGTGGTCTACTGCTGCTGCATCCATGACTTGCCCCAGTGCCTCTGATGATCCAGCTGCCAGCGTCTCCTCTTTCACAACCGCTGCCGGAGAAGTACTAGTAGTTGTGGTAGTAGTCGTGCTAGTGGTTGTCGTCGTGGCCGCCGGATCCTTGGGCTCTTCCTTGACGTTGTTCGATTGCTGTTGCTGTTGCTTCTCGTTCTGTGAGCCCTTGGAACCTGAGCTCCCGCCGCTGTTCTTGCCGTGGTGATTCCGAGTTGACCCGGCCAGGGCGTTGCGCTGAGTCGGCCATGGATGGTTGTGCTCAGAGGTGTAGGTGATGACAAGCATGTTGGGGTCATTCCGACTGCGCTCCACTTGCTTCCGTGCTGAGCATCCTTTTGAGCTGCTGCATCTGTAGTACCCTCTGGGATGCCGTGCATTTCATGGACAAGAACATTATTAAAGTCAGCAAGCATGCACCCTTTTCATATATTGCAACCAGCGTATGTAAGGTAAATCGCACTTCATATATATGCCGATATATAAAAAAAATAAGTTGGGTTCAGTTTTATATATATGTGTTTTATTTGCTAATAAAAACCATAGTTTTACATTGTTTCCACTTTAATCTAGGGAAGATAATCTGACATATCACATGTATATAAAAACTGTACAAAGAGATCTTAAAAATCAATCCAGCTGGGTGTAATCACTCGGCATAGAATCGAATTAAAATCTGGAAAAAATATGAACAATTATATTGATACTGTGTATATGCCTGGGAACATGGATCATACATTAAGCCCAGGAATATTTGTACATAACAGTTATCTGTTGCTGGTATGGTAACCGTATCTGCAATTAGGACAACGCTGCGCACACCAAAAAATGCCAAAATGTATCATAGAGTGATAAAAAACTAGTAATTATATTGGACACATGAGAATCAGAAGCATCCCCATACGTCTTGCTACCTAGCTAGCTAGGTAACCATTAAATTATCTTTCGGCTAATTAATTCAAACTGCATCGATCATGCAGACACAAATTAAGAATCGTGGAGCTGAGAATTCTATAGTTATGGACCATATATAGAGAAGATTGCCACCAGAAGATTGTTTACTCTCTTATATATAGCCGTTCGTAAAAGCTAGCTTCACCGCCAATTTGTCACCAGCAGATTGTTCAGCTTAATAAGCTTAATAGATCGAGCCACATTAACCATTTCTCTTGAAACATAATCCCAGCTAATTAGTGGATGTGCCAAATTAACACATACCTTGGATAAGGAGAACCCTTGATAGGCTTCTGGCCGTACTTCCTCCAGGCCCAGAGATCAGAAGGAACCACCTCTCCAGTTGGTCTTGCTGCTGTCGGCGCCGGGATGCATACCACCTTCCTTGCTTGGTTCTTCCTGCGCAGAGATGAATTTTTTGCAAGCGTTAATATTTGATGAACTGCAGTAATCACGTGATAACAGAACTACAAATGCACGCATAAGCTCTTGAGCCAAAGTTATTGAATTTTTTTAACTAATTGAAGCTTATTATTACTAGGGTTTCGCAAATCAGCTTTGGAGACTCAAAAGCCGGCCTTTCCGGGGCAGAAAACCAGCTAGGTCTAGATGCACATAACCCTATGAGTAGGCATCGTTTGCCGATTCAGAAATATCCCCACCGATCACACCATGTGTTCATGATGACTCTCTTGCCTAAAATTTCGAGCTGTAGGCAACACTTACGACCTTGCCAATTCCTGGCACAGCCCGAGGAATCCTTGGAATCCTCCCTGTCAATTCTTATTTTTTCCATGGATGGATGTGCAGTGCAGACTGCAGAGCACAAAAGGAGGAGGAGCAAAAGGAACAGAAAAAAAGAGATCGCAGAACCTTCCCTAAAATCATCACGAGCTATAGCTAGCAAACACACACCCTGTATGTATGTATTTATATATCTACATGCAAGATAAGATGATGCAACGAAGCTAGCTAGCAGATGTGTTGGATCCAGGCGGATCTGCCCAACCTGCGCTTGATCCCACCCGCGGCGCGAGGCGAAGACATCTGCATGCCGACGACGGCGGCGTCGATGGCGCACCCGGCCACCTGCCCGGCCGTGATTCCGAGCTTGACCATGTCGCCGGCTAACGGCGGGTATGGTCGTATCTCCCTCGGCGACGACAACGGCGACGGCAACACCATCCTCGGCGCCAGCACTCCAAGCGCCGGCATCTGCACCCCCCGCGGCAAGAGAGGCTGCTTCCGGCTCATGTCTATCATCTGTCCTCCTCCGCCTCCTCCGTAGCCACTGCCGCTGCCGCCACCGATAGCCGTGTCGAAGCCGACCTTGGCCATCGCGTCCGGCATGGCGCCCAAGAAGTCGGCGCCTGAGGAGTAGTCGGTACTGAACGGGTCCACGAGGCCGGAGAAAGGGTCAGCGCCGAAGACGTCGGCGCCGGTGCCCCCTGCGGCGGCGCAGCCAGCTTCCGATGTCGTCGACGAGGGAAGCGGCGGGAAGAGCATCGGGTCTCCCTGGAGCTGCCACTCATCCGCGGCGGCCGTGGACGGCATCTCGGCGGCGTTGCCAGGGATGGCTCCGCCGGACCGGACGATGTCGGTAAGGTCGCCGCTGCCGGCCTGGTCGCCCTCCATCCTCGGAAGGAAGTAGTCGCACATGGCTGTGGCGCGCGGCAGCTAGAGCTAGCTAGGGTGCCCTTTGCCGATCCCTCGCTCTCGCTAGTCGCTGCCTGCCTCTATAGTGGATGCGCGCAAGCTAGCGCGCGGCTGATGCCAACCGCTAGCTCAATAATTCTCTCGTCTCGCTCCTTTGCAATCAACTGGCACCAAGCTAGCTAATAAGGCTAGCTAGCCAAGAAGAGCCGTGTGATGCACAGGAAGCAGCAGCTTGGGTGCATGCATGTGTTGGCACGAACGAGAACGAAGAAGGCTTGCTAGGGCAGCAGGACAGCGATCTCTTGAAGTTGCAAGTTGGCTCGATCTGCTTGGAGGTAAGCTAGTAGCAAGCAATCCAGCAAGCTTGTTTTGCTTTTGTGGGGGCAGAAAAGGAGGTAGGGTGGAGGGGAAGCAGGATGTGAGAGATGGGGCTGTGGAAAGTGAGCTATCTTTTCTTTACGCCAAGCAAGCAAGAGGAGAGGAGAGAATACACAAGGAGAGGGGAGGAGAGATGGGTAACTTGAGTTGGCTGCCAAGAGAGGACAATAAAGAAGTATGTGAGGGCAGATGAGACAGAGAGGCATATCAAGAGAGGGACAGGAGGGCGAGAGTGATGGGTTGTGTGGTTTTTGTATTGTTTTCTTCTGCCGATGTGTGTGTGTGTGCATGCATATGCATATGCTCGCCCAGTCGCCCTCCTCCTGCGGCGGACGATTGACCGACGGACGGACGGATGGAGGCTGACCTTTTCAAGGGCACGGGCGGGCGGGCGAGGTGGGGGAGGCCGCGGCCGGTGTGCCACCTCCATACGCAAGGCGGCATGGCCGCGTCGGGCGCTTGTCTGCCGCTGCCGCCTGGTAAAAAGGGAGTAGTGCCACTGCGTCCGCATGCAGTGCAACCGTTCACACGGTGAAAAAACTGGAACGACCGCCCCCGGCCCTCCCTAACTCAGCTCGTCGGCCGCCTGTCGTCTCTGTCTCCTCTTCTTCCTTATTAACCCACTGACGGACGGAATATGACTGAGTCCGCCGCACACGCAACATATATACTTGCACCACTTCGTTATTCAGGCTCAGGCTCAGGCTCAGGCAGGCCTTCTTCATGGCGACCCGATCGATTTGATCGTCACGACGCTCTCTCTGGATCGATCTCTGCACGCATGCAAGAATTTACATCATATTTACGTTCTGTGCCTGTACTATGTATACCATCAATAGAGCAGTTACTTGCTGCTGTTTATTCATGTGTAAATAGTCCATGATTATATGCATGGTTGTGCGTTGTTGTTGTGTCTACTCCGTATATATCAGCATCAGCATCAGGGCCGGGCCGCCGGCCGGGTATATCAGCATCAGCATCAATCGGGACCAACTAGGCCATCTCGCCGGCTAAACGGTGTGAGTTAGTTACTGGACGAAAATACTCCATGCAAGCAGCTAAAAATTGATGTGATGGAGAGAGAGTGAAAAAACTTGGAATTTTGGTGGCATCTAAACAAGGCCTGGACGAAAATGCGTGCCATATGCGGCGGCTACAGTGTGGCGCATAGTCGTGTGTACTTCTGGTCGTTTCACCACAGGACATATACAAGCGCATGCATGTGTGCCGATCGAGTACTATGATCTGAAATGGCATGGCTTTGTCTTCTATGCACCGAGGCGCGCCCAGCCGTGTGTGGTACGATATATGCCGAATGATACTGTGAATGCTCGTGAATAATTACAGCGCCCCAAACCGATCAGCAGCATCAAACATGTGTGGATGTTTTTTTAGATAATGGAACAAAGGTTGGCTCTTCGCATTGCTAGCTTAGCGCGTTCAGTATATATATGTGTTTTGTAGTTGGGGGTTGAAAATGGTAGGAATAAATCCCATCCTGTCCCGATGATTTTTGCATTTAACCCATTCAAATCCATGTTGATAGTCGTCCCAACTGTTTTTTTTTTTTTTGTTTTAGTAAATATGTAAATATGACACAGGATGAAAACACTATGGTTGTTTTTTTTTGGCTATTTTTGCCTTTTCTCTCTCTTTTTTGTCTGGTTTATACCGTTTTTACCCACATAGGATATCTTGTTTTAGGTAGTGCAATAATGTTGTTGCGGGCCATGCCACACCATATAGTAGCTCTGTTCATGGTAGACTCTTGCTTTGTTACGGGCTAATGGTCTTGTACTCTTTATATACTTGTCATCTTATGAACCTTAGTGTATGAGTTAGAATTATTTATACGTTGGCAATGTCATCATGCCAAGTCAATTAGGTTAGTATATATGAAGTCACGTCTCTTTGTTCTATGCGCCGATCGATGTTCCTGTTTTGTGTTTTCGCACCTCGACCGTTATCGACATGTTTTTGTTCAAATTGATCCATTTTTTATATCTGATGAACCCGTATTCGTTCCCGGTTTTTGCCTTTTCAATTTCAGTTTTGTTTCCCTAATAAAATATAAAAGTGAAAATAGAAAAGAGTTTATCCTGACCAATCCCGTTCGTTTTTTTTATCTCTGCGTGTAGTTTCAAAATTGTATATAAAAAACTCTGCCACCTTTCCCAGCTAGGAGAGATATTTGAAAGTGAGAGAGATGCGATGTGTTTTCTTAAAAATAAATTGAATCTAATGTATTTAACTTTATCATCTCTATCTCCTTATCGTTTGAGATCAGGTACCATATACATGGACGTGCTGGTCGGATTTCAAACATGTACAGCATAACAACGTGATGATTGCTGCCTGCAGAAAAATAAGATCCGGCCGGCCTGCAGGCACCGGCAGCTAGCTGGCCTACTAGAGGCTTATCACATATACACGTTATAATCTTGTATATGTACTCAAAACTATCTTATATGATGCCATGATAAATTATAAATTGTTTCGAGAATGGACAAAAGATCTAGCCAATGAGACCGAAAATGACAGTAATATCTCATCATAGACGTACGACTAGTTAAACAAGGTGTATGCACCACATGAACTCATTATATATATTACATGAAGTATATTATTATACATTTGGTGGCTCAAGTAAATTACACAAACGGCGGCAACGATGATAATGCAAACAGTCATCAGTTGTATACAAATTCTTTTGGTTTAGTAACTCAACTCGAGACACATATCTCACTGTGATCACACACATAGATTTCGTGACATAAAATGGTCATTTAATTTGGAGTTGATCAATTCAGTTTTTCACAGATAGCGCTTGCTGTATACAATTATTTATGCATCATCAAAGGGAAGGTGGTTCTTGAAGGTGACGCTGCAATGGGGATTAAACAAAGGCGAGTTGCTTTCTGCTGGAAGTTTCTTTGAATCCGATGACATCCATGAGCGAGGATCTCATGTGACGAGAATCATGTAGCCTTGTGCTGTAAAGTTGGATTCAGCGCGCAGAAGATCCTGGCCCCGCGTTTAAAGGCGTTTTCGGCGCACAGGACATGCTTCGGGTGATAGGGTTCTTGATATTATCTCTTCCTGCAACTAACAATACAATATCAGCTCACTAGCAGCCACTGATGCCGATTCATCAGCTTAAAAAATCAGCATGCAACCGTTCGTCATTACAGTCGTGTACGTTTGAATAATGGGCACCTACTTAAAAATATAGAGTACTCCGACTGCTTTGTGATTCCGTATATATTGCTGTCCAAAGTGTAGTCCCTGCAGGCTGCAGCTAGCTGAAATAGCAGTTTGTTCAGTTGATCTAATAATTTTAATCAAACCTACATATAACATGGTCCAGGTTTAGAGATATGGGAACAGTATCTTTCAGATATAATGATGTAGGAGTGCTACTCTTGTCATTAATTATTTGTCATTTAATTTCTTTGGTATATATAGCAGTTTAATGTGTCTATCAAATTTGTTGTGCATGCATTTTTAGATAGTTTTGTGGGAACATAAAATGTACAATTAAGGCATATACTTTGATGTGCCTCTTATTACCTTGTTTATTTGGTGACTACTGACTATTGGTGTTTGCTACATACTACGATAGTACTATTGTTTGAAATAAACTCCATTTTGATGCAACATAGTGCAACCCATCAACATTCTTATGACATCAATAAACATGTGACATGCTCGAGTTACAGAAAGTTGTTTAAAAATAATAACAGTGATTTTTTAAAAAAAAATGCATGTGTGAATTTCACTAGCTGCCTAGCTTCTCGTAGCCTACGTACTGGTCAAACCATATTCAACCTGCGGCTTCTAATCTTTTACTTCAACCTCAGAGTGGAATCTATTTCACACGTAGGCATCAGATGCATAGCTTCATAGACTAATTAGAAACTATATGAACTTATTTGTCTGATCAGTTTGACTTAGCACCATGGAGTTGAGTCAAGACAGAGTCTTGTCATCACTTAACCACACTCCAAGCATGGAGTATTTTTTGATGTGTGTGCACCTTGTTTCTTTTCTACTGACAACTGCACATTGTGCCAGTTAGCTAGGGTTCAATTCCTTAATATTTTTTCTCTGGATTCGAAACTGCAGTCCCCACTGGTCTCTCCCTTGTTACCATGCTTTGGAACTGGATTGACTTCTTGACTCGCGATACTGTCCAAAAGGCGATCAATGCCTGATCTCTACACCACAGAGCACTAAGAGGAATTGTTTGGAGTTAATTAGTGACGGAGAACTGCAGTCTCTGAATTGGAATTTGAGGGCAGCCTGACATGATGAGGACATTATAAAATACATGCACTAACCCGTTCACAATTGTTTAGAGGTACACGGTTATTATTATCTTAAACAAATGGGATTAGGTGGTGTTCTAGATGATATGGATTTGTCCTTTGTGTGTCATGCTGTGATTAAGGCGATACATTCGCTTTAATAAAGGCTAGAGAATCTTCCTTTCAAGGAGTGGGCTTATTTTATTATTAGCTAGAGATAATTAATTAGTATCTCTTCCTCGCAAAAAAAAAAAGTATCTCAGAGTAATTGAAGAATGCCAGCATGCAAGCATGTATGCTGTGGCTGAACTTCATTTG